GGCATCATTAAATCTCAAATTATACGGTTTTTCAGAATTTGTTCAGAAGAGAAACACTTACAAACAGCCATTAGCACCCTCTTTAGCAGCCTTAGGAAGAGAGGATACAGTACCCGGTTCCTCAGAACAATTAAAAACTCCACACTGGCCGCGCTCTCTCCCACTCGCTCTGACCATGCTTCCCTGGACCTGTCCAATAATCAGTCAATCACGTGCCTGCATCAGTTGGATGGGGATCCCTTTGAAGTGACCGCTGCTGCGCAGGAGCCCCTCCTCCTCCTCCCTCTTGTAACTACTTTCTCTCACATCTGCATCCCTATGCAACACAAATGGAAAAATGATTTTAATAAAGCACAACAATCATTTGATCTATATCAGAAATATAAAGTCATTTCTGCAAACAGAAAAAACAAAAATTTAAAAGACTTACTGACACGCTCGCTCTTTTCCAGCGGGGGGGTAGGAGTACGGCTCGATTTGCAGCGTGAACACTTCCGTCTGTCCACTTCCATAACTAACATCCACAGTCATAGATCTTATCCACTCCAGGGACACTTCACGCCGAATACAATGAACACTGTTTACTGCATCCTTTGCACATTCTGTAAATTCATATACATAGGGGAAACAGGCAATAGCATTAACATCAGGCTTTCACAACACCTATATAACATTAGAAAGGCTGAGCGGGAAACTCACCTAGTACAACATTTTCAAATACACCCCTCCAATAATCTCATCATCTTCGGCGTAGAGAGTAACCCCTTCTGGAGCCCGGGACAGAGGAAGAGAGCGGAGGGGAATTGGATTCAGAAACTAAACTCCAGAAATCCATATGGTTTAAATGAATGCATGACATATCACCATAACCTGTAACTTCTCTCCTCCACAGCTAAAGGAACATCATAGACAGCCAGAAATAATATGAAGAAATACAATCAAATTGACTTATTAATAAACAATATCTTTTAAGAACATACACAACATCACTCTTGTCTGTTCCTGTTTATTTCATTAAAGTATTAACATTACAATCTGTATAACCATAACTTTTTCTTTCCATGATCATATACTCTTCTTTTGAAAATCCGCCGCCACACCATCGCTCGTGCTGGGCCGCACCTGTTGGAAAAAAGAAGAAAAACACATCCTGTACTCTTAGTCTAGAATATTTTATTCTGGGCTATACTTGATTTTGTCATGTGGTGGTTAATTGATATTTTTTATTATATGTATCTGTCCCACTTATACCCATATTATTTGCTACGACCAAAACTCCAGTTGAATTTTATTTCCAGGGAGGCGGGTGGAAGGCAACGGACCACACGCTCCCAGGCCAGCGCACCATAAACAAACTCTGTCTTCAAATATCACTCAACTTCAAACCTAACCCTAACCCAAATTATCTATCCTCAGATACACCTCTCTAAACAACTCCCGCGGACAGTGCAATCACTCATTGGGGATATGAACAACCACATCAGAAAAACCTACAGAACACTCGATTTGCTGGATGATAGTGTTTTTAAAGTCCACTCACATGACCCAGTTCATTGGACATCAGAAACTGCTAAAAACATTCTAAAAACTTGGATGGAACAACTAAACTAGCGTCGGGGGCACCGAGATTACTCACCCCCGATGTTGAAAACACACAATCAAACATTTTAAATTTATCACTTCTTTTCACACTGAGCGAGACAGAAAAATAACTTTTGGAGAAAGGACTGTTTTTCATCCCGACTCCACTGGAAGTGGATAGGGATGATCTAAGACGAGATCTACACCGTTATCATAGGACCCTTAAATTGTTACACCATTTCGACTATGCTACAGACTCGACCCCGGATCCATTTAGGAGCTCCTCTGGATGGGAACCGCATTGGGTTTCCCTGCCGGAACCCATCCAGGGGCTGGTGGAGGAGGATGGCCGGGGCCTTGAGAGACTGAGCATAGCGAAGGAGAGGGACAACTTGTCGTGTCCACAGAGAAGAGCACTGAACAAACTCAAACAGAACCAGGATATAGTGATAAAACCAGCTGACAAGGGATCAAAGATAGTGATCTTAGACAGGACCCAGTATTTACTGGAGGCTCAGAGACAATTGAATAATACTCTGCATTATCAATCACTTTCTCACACATTGCAGCAGGAAACGTGTTGCTCATGGTGGTACTGTTGGGTCTCTGTAATTAATGTTAAAGAGTTCGGTCTAGACCTGCTCTATTTGAAAAGTGTCCTGAGATAACTTCTGTTATGAATTGGCGCTATACAAATAAAATTGAATTGAATTGAATTGAATTGAAACCCAGAGGAAGATTAGAGAATTGGTGACAAAATTATATGAGGAAAAATACATCACGGCCAAACAAAGAAACTACTTATTTGGACCAGACACACCTCGACCACGTAAATTCTATCATCTCCCAAAGATCCATAAGGATCCAGAGACGTGGCCTGTCCCACATCAAATCCCCTCTGGACGTCCGATTGTATCAGACTGTGGGAGTGAGTCATATGCAGTATCAGAGTATATAGATCACTACCTAAATCCCTTGTCACAACAACATCCAAGTTACATCAAGGATACATATGAATTCATCAATAAGATCAAAATGATGAGGATTCCTCCTGGTTCAGTGCTCTTCTCTGTGGACATTGACTATTTGTACACTAACATCAACACACAAATGGGTCTGAAAACGGTCAGAGAGACCTTCAACAAATACCCGGACCAGAAAAGGCCGGATGATTTGCTCCTCCAGCTCCTGGAACTGAGCCTGACCAAAAATGACTTCAAGTTTGACGACAAGATATATCTGCAGGTACATGGAACAGCAATGGGAAAGAAGTTTGCCCCAGCCTACGCAAATATATACATGGCGGGCTGGGAGCAAACTGTCTTTCCCAAGTGCCCAAAATTGCCCTTAATCTACCTCAGATATCTAGATGATATTTTTGGGATTTGGTCTTACTCGAAGTCAGAATTTTTGGAGTTCATCAGCATTTTAAATAACCATCACAGCACCATTACAGTCAAGTTCGATCTTCAACCAGAAGAGCTGGCGTTTCTGGATACTCAGGTGATTTTATCAGGGATCAGACGGAGGAATGGAAACTGGGTACAAGAGTGTTCTTCAAGCCAACAGATACGCATGCTCTTTTGCACAAAGACAGCTATCATCCTCGTCATACTTTTTGGGGAATTGTGAAATCACAATTGATACGATTTAACAGGATATGCACGAGAGTAGAGGACGCTGAAAAGGCAACAAGAACACTCTTTAAAGTACTCAGAACCCGGGGTTATAGTAGATCCTTCCTCCATCTGATAAAAACAGAAACGCAAGGAATGCAAAACAGGGTGGCTTTGGAGAGCAAAGGGGAAAGAAAAATCATCTCCTTTGTTACCACCTTCTCTGCCACATCCTTGAGATTGAACACATTGATAAAAACGAACTTCACAAGACTACAAAATGTTGCTGAACCGCTGATGGACTTCAAAATTATCTCGGCTTTTAGGAGGAATAAAAATCTGAAGGATCTTTTGGTCCATGCCTCGCTCAAGGACAGGAAAACAACTAACAACTATGAAAAACACTTTTGGCCAATCAAATACATTTTGAACAGACATTCAGATATGGGTTTTCCTATTGTTCACCAACTGGATCTGAAATCTAAGAATTTGGTGTATGTGATCAAGTGCGATGTTTGTCATAAACTATATGTTGGACAAACCCAAAATGAACTTTCAAAACGCCTTAAACAACACCTGTATTGCATTGGTCGAGAGGATAAAATATCAGAGTTGTACACACACTTTAGGAATCATGATGTTGCTAATTTATTTATATCAGGTTTGGAAATGAGACAGAATTGGTCAGAGGGACAGAGACTTGTTGCTGAGAAAAGATGGATTCAGAGATTAAAAACTTTTGTACCCCATGGATTAAATGAAATTTAGAATATACACCAAAGATACGCTAAAAACTTTATTAAAAACGCGTGATGAGTGTAATTTGGATTGAATCATGTTTTAAAAGCCTAGGCGGGCATTGTCTGGTTAAAAACAATCTTTTTTTCAGACAGTGAAAAACAACAAAAGGCAAAACAGATAAAAACCAAAGAACTAAAATAACAAAATCATGGGCTTGATATTTGGTGGACCAGAGGAGGATTCCATTATATATTTTTTGTTGCATGTTGTATTTCCTTTGCATGTTTTTGTCCTTTTGATTTATATATGTCTTTTGTAAATAATTTTGGATATGGCACTTATTGTTTTTGCACTTATGACTTGTGGTGGTGATCCAACTCTGGTCCAACAATAACAAAAAAACAAAAAAACAAAACTACTGTCCCTTCTCAAATCAGAATTACAGAGGCTATAAGAAATAATGGAGAGTAAAGAAAATACTAAAGTGCCCAGGATACTAGCAATGGTAACCTGGACCAGAAAAACATACACCAATAAGGTGTAATTGAGACATAAAAGGAGAAAGGGACTAAACACTAAATAAACTATTGTACCGGCTACAACAGCACCTATACCACATCCAAAAATCTACTAAGGTGTCTGTTTTATATGACCACTTCCGGACACATGGGGCAGATAATCTAATAATTTCAGGCCTGGAAGGCCACCCTCATTGGTCTGCAGCCCATAGAGTGCGGGCCGAGAGACTCTGGATTGCCAGATTAAAAACAGGGATCCCTGCTGGCCTCAATGAGACCCTCTAAACTGGGTTACTGCAGACCGGAGACAATAAGTTGCAGATGGTCAAAATAAATGAGCCCAGTCTACCAACGATGGTATTCTGGGCTACATGATGAAGGCTCTATAGGCTGGTTTGTAATGGTGGTGGATGGACCAGTCTACCAACAATGGTATTCTGGCCCCAAGTAAAACCCAGATTTTCACTGTTTTCATTCATAAAGCTAACAAGGAAAAACACTGAAACAAAAATGTCTGAAAGAGCTACCCGACACTGCATCTACATTCAATTCAATTCAATTTTATTTGTATAGCGCCAATTCATAACAGAAGTTATCTCAGGACACTTTTCAAATAGAGCAGGTCTAGACCGAACTCTTTAACATTAATTACAGAGACCCAACAGTACCACCATGAGCAAGCACTTGGCGACAAGGGCAAGGAAAAACTGCCTGTTAAAAGGCAGGAACCTAGGACAGATCCTCCGGCTCTAGGTGGGTGGTCGTCTGTCTCGACCAGTTGGGGTGAGAGAGAGAGAGAGAGAGAGAGAGAGAGAGGCAGAGAGAGAGAGAGCGAGAGACAGACAGACAGACAGGTGCACAGCAACAACAGTATTGGCAATGGCAGTCAAGCAGGACCATGGCAGGAGGCTCCACCAGGATCCATGAGAACCTGCGAGACGAGAAAGCACAAGAACTCCGGGGAAGAAGTGGAGTTAGTAACATGCATTAATGGGACATGAATGAGTGCAGAAAGAGAGAGGAAGAGAGTAGCTCAGTGCACCATGGGAAATCCCCCGATAGTCTAGGCCTATAGCAGCATAACTAAGGGATGGTTCAGGACTCACCTGATCCAGCCCTAACTATAAGCTTTATCAAAGAGGAATGTCTTAAGCCTACTCTTGAATGTGGTGAGGGTGTCTGCCTCCCGAACCACAACTGGAAGCTGGTTCCACAGGAGAGGAGCTTGGTAACTGAAGGCTCTGGCTCCTGTTCTACTTTTAGAGACTATAGGAACCACAAGTAGCCCAGCATTCAGAGAACGTAATGTTCTAGTGGGGTAATAGGGTGTGATCTCTTTTTCTAGTTCCTGTCAGTACTCGTGCTGCAGCGTTCTGAATTAATTGGAGCGTTTTAATGGACGTATTGGGGCAACCTGATAATAAAGAGTTGCAGTAATCCAGCCTTGAAGTAACAAATGCATGGATTAGTTTTTCTGCATCTGTCTGTGATAGTATGTGTCTAATTTTTCTAATATTACGTAAATGAAAGAAGGCGGTCCTAGAGGTCTGCTTTATGTGGGAGTTAATGTGGGATTGCCATGCCTGCATCCATTGCCACGCCTGCATATCTTTATGATGGCCAATTAAATTTTCTACCTCTCATTTGCCTGCATACCTGTGGTTTTTGTAGGGGTTACACTACTATTTAATAAGAAAGGTAATTATTCACTGGTGATTAATAATACACTCGTAAATGGGGCACCACCTCCGTTGTTTAGTTACTGGAATAATCCGGAGGAAATTATTCGACAAATCTAATCAAATCAGTTTCAAATCAATTTATTAAATTTCAAAATCTTTGCTCAATCTCATATTCCAAAATAGTGATTTCTTTACACGATTCATCGATTTCCCCACATCAAATCAACCTACACAGACAAAGACATATGGTTATATATGTTTATTAACTAAAAATTAATGAAGAGTAAATAGCATGACATGACAATTCAAACAACAACAAGTAACAGAATATATGGACAGTAAATGAATTATTAATATTGGGTGATTCAGGAGCAATGGTGGATTTTGTGATACGGCAATAAATTGAAAATATTACGGGAGTACATTTTAAAACTACAAGGCCCTAATCGAAAATTCTTCTAAGCTTAAACTATGTGAAGCAAAGCTCACAGACAGACACCAACTCTTGGGAAGTGTGTGGGACCCCGGCAGTTTATGTGGGTTTCAGCCTACTTTTTAGTAGAGATGGAGGGACTTCAGGATCTTTCTCCTCAGGCTCGTACTGCTCAGCTGCTGTTCAGAATCACAGGTCCAAGAACATGTCGTCACCGATACCAGTAAACGCTCCAGCCCAAGGCCCAGCGTGGCTTGGCGCTTTGAGTGTGTTGGAGGCAGATAGTCTGGAGAATAATGTCCTTGTCCGGCTGAAACGTTTATACGTCTCCTTGAGCGGTCAACCAATGCGATGTCCTTCTGGCTTATGATAAATGTCTTAAGAAAAGTTTCTCAGAGTGGTTGGTCTTCAGCTTTGATTATGAACTAATCCAACTCCTTGTCTAAAATAACTGTAGGACATAACGCTGGCCTGGCGAATCCTCTGTAGTCAGTAAATCCAAGAATTAAATTAAATTCACCTTCTGTGAATAAGGCGACAATACTTGACAATATATATAAACAAAAAAAACCTATAAAAGAATTAACTTTGTTCGTGTCTTGAGCCTTCAAAATAAAAGTACTAAAAAGTACTTCAGCACCGCAAACTATTACGTGAGGAAAAATTCAACACGTGTCTCAAACGAAGTAAAGTACGGAAATTAAAAGTAGAATGAGAGTAAATAACGAATGGATCCAAAGCAAATTTAAGAAGAAAGTTTTGGAAGTGTAAAGGTAAGAAAAAAGGGAGTGACCGGAGTCTATATTATATATATGTTTTAGTCTAGAGGCGTATCTGGAAAGGCTAATCGCGTCACTTCTTTTAGCGATATTTTGATATTTGTAACTTTATCAACTTACTACTATGGCGTTTTAAAGTTTCAAAATCATAATTAACCATTCACAGAACCCACCATGACTTAACACATAGTTTACATGTTTTAACATAACATAACTGAAATGACTTGATGTAAAGATAAAAGCAGAACTAGTTAAAATATCACAAACATGCATATAAAGCAACACTAATAGATTGTACATATTTCGTATAGTGTTAGCTTAATTCTTGTTATAAAATTATGTGTCAGGCATTTACCATTTGGAATAAAACACAATTATAAAACAAAGTCCGTTTTGAGGATACCTTATGCTATACCAGAATCTCAGCAAAAAAAAGGTGGCACTGTGGCTCCATCAAACATTCAGACATTTTACACATGATTTTGTAACTTAGTCCAACCTGGGAATGTGAACATCAGAAAAGCATTACATTTGCGACCTTCTCATGCTGGATGGCAATCTGTTGATTTTGAGAAGATTACATTTTACAATAATACTACAACAGAACTAAATCTTTATCCGTGCAAATGTGGTTACTGCTATAGACTGGAATGTCCTCTAGTAAATGGACCTCTCATAAATTAACTTGAAGGAACCTCTCTCTGGAGGTGGTACAATTTAGATCAAAGGAGATGCAACACATTCCATGTCCACTCCATAGGGATTTGCAATTAAAAAGGCATTTAAATTATCACACATCTCTTGTAGGAAAACAACGGTTTCCAGAGCCTAAGTGTGAAGTGTCGTTCTGATCTATGGAGGAGTCAGTGTTCTGTTGAAGAGGATGAACAAATTGACACCTAGAGATACCATCTGTGAATCTGAAAAGAACCAGGCTCTCTGCAGGAGACTGTCAGCGCCACAGTCTCACCTCCCCACCTCCCCTCTTGGGTGAAAAAGTCAGAGAGAGAGACCTTTCTGAACAGGGAAAGAATCAAAATAATATGATGAGTGTGGAATTAAGAAACCAAAAAGAAAAGTCTCTTGTGATGATAATATACGATGACAAGGTCCTACATTTTGGTTCAATACTTTTCTGAATGTCTTCCTAATGGTTTTGCAGTCAGAATCAAACCAAATTTCCCTGTTCAATTCAATTCAATTCAATTTTCAATTCAATTTTATTTGTATAGTGCCAATTCATAACAGAAGTTATCTCAGGACACTTTTCAAATAGAGCAGGTCTAGACCGAACTCTTTATAACATTATTTACAGAGACCCAACAGTACTACCATGAGCGAGCACTTGGCGACAAGGGCAAGGAAAAACTGCCTGTTAAAAGGCAGAAACCTAGGACAGATCCTTCGGCTCTAGGTGGGTGGTCGTCTGTCTCGACCAGTTGGGGTGAGAGAGAAAGAGAGAGAGAAAGAGAGAGAGAAAGACAGACAGAGAGACAGACAGACAGACAGGTGCACAGCAACAACAGTATTGGCAATGGCAATCTAGCAGGACCATGGCAGGAGGCTCCACTAGGATCGATACGAACCTGCGAGACGAGAAAGCACAAGAACTCCGGGGAAGAAGTGAAGTTTGTAACATGCATTAATGGGACATGAATGAGTGCAGAAAGAGAGAGGAAGAAAGAGCTCAGTGCACCGTGGGAAATCCCCCGATAGTCTAGGCCTATAGCAGCATAACTAAGGGATGGTTCAGGACTCACCTGATCCAGCCCTAACTATAAGCTTTATCAAAGAGGAATGTCTTAAGCCTACTCTTGAATGTGGTGAGGGTGTCTGCCTCCCGAACCACAACTGGAAGCTGGTTCCACAGGAGAGGAGCTTGGTAACTGAAGGCTCTGTTCATTTTCACTTTGACAATGAGGCCAAATGATCAAGTATATGGTTAATGTTTCTCTAACAGAGGAGACTATCCCTCCTACAGAGAACTCACAGACACTGAGGAACCAGACAAGAACCCAAATCCAAATCCAGGATAGAGAGGTTCATTGAATGTGGTGTTGAAGCTGTGGAGGTGGATCAGTGAGTCAGAGGAGACTCTGTAGAAGGACAGAGTGCCAGCAGGACAGTCCACATACACTGCTACTCTCTTAGAGACAGAGGAGGAAGAGATGGATGTTCTACTATTATTGTACCAGACAAAGTAACCACCATCAGAGCAGATCAGTCTCCAGGACTGATCATTTTCTCCAAACACACAGTCTGTACTATCTTCTTTCCTGTTGATTCCTCTGTAACTGACTGATATAGAAACTCTTCCACTCCACTCAACCTCCCAGTAACAGCGACCAGTCAGACCATTTCTACACAGCAGCTGAGGACACTTGTCAAATCTGTCTGGATGGTCAGGATATGACTGATACTCCTCCACAAGCGTCACCTTCCTGTTGTTGTCAGACAGTTTGATCTTTCTGTTTACTGTGTTTGTGTCAAGTGTGAGTTCACAGGAATCTGTTAGAGAGAACAAGACACAATACAGTTGCAGTTATTGATCTATCATCTGATCATTTATTGACACTCTGATGATGACATCAGAGATGTGAATGAGTGATATTACAGTGTGAAGATGGTTGAATGTGTGCTGCTTTGTTTTCACACTTACACTTCCTCAGACCTGGTCTCAACCATCGGATTCCAGCAGGCTCCACCCTGAAAGGAGGAGGGGGGTTAGACCAGCACTCTCATACACAGATACAAAATATGTACATCGCCACTCCCCCTAAAGTCTCCTCATGAGCCACAGGAATTTGGTGTGTGTGAAAGAAGACAACATCTGACACACACAAAACCTTTTTCTTTGAGTTCCCCTTCAAAAGCAGTCTTTGGTTCCAGACCTCTGCCATAAACCCTCTAAAACCTCTAAAAGTCTCAGAAAACATAGTTCTGATATTATTAACAAAATGTCATGTTTTGGATGTATTGTGCATGTTTTCCTCTTGGATTATTACTCCTGGATCACATTGACTGCTATTAACACGGAAAAGGAAATGCCACACGGCTAGTAGCTAATGTTACAGCACACAAACACACGCGGTGTGTGGATACCACGGTGGTATCCCTTCAAAAGTTTTCCCCACTGTTTGTCATCATGCCTCTTTGCCACTTGTCGAAATGAGCGCCATGGCATCATCCATGAGGAGAGATCTACGTGGAACCAGGGCATGTGCACAAAGCTCCTCCTACCTGCAGTGAGTACAGTACGTTAGAGACTTCTTATGGTTCTGATTTGAGGAACCTGATTTGGTCAAAAATTATCTGTCTCATGTATTATCGTCAGGGAATATAATGACAGTTTCAATTCAATTCTATTTGTATAGCACCAATTCATAAAAGAAGTTATCTCAGGACACTTTTCAAATAGAGCAGGTCTAGACCGAACTCCTTATAACATTATTTACAGAGACCCAACACTACCACCATGAGAAAGCACTTGGCGACGGGGGCAAAGAAAAAAACAAAAATTCTTATACTTGGCCCCAAAAACCTTAGAGACTCACTGTCTAAAGATATAGTTACTTTAGATGGCATTACCTTGGCCTCTAGCACCACTGTCAGGAATCTTGGAGTTATCTTTGATCAGGATTTGTTATTTAATTCCCACATAAAGCAGACCTCTAGGACTACCTTCTTTCAATTACGTAATATTACAAAAAATTGACACATCCTATCACAGACAGATGCAGAAAAACTAATTCATGCATTTGTTACTTCTAGGCTGGATTACTGCAACTCTTTATTATAAGGTTGCCCCAATAAGTCCATTAAGAAGCTCCAATTAATTCAAAATGCTGCAGCACGAGTACTGACAGGAACTCGGAAAAGAAATCACATCTCTCCTGTACTAGCTTCTCTGCATTGGCTCCCTATAAAATTTAGAATAGAATTTAAAATCCTCCTCCTCACCTTTAAAGCTCTTCATGGTCAGGCCCCTTCATATCTTACAGAGCTCATAGTACCCTATTACCCCACTAGAACATTACGTTCTCTGAATGCTGGGCTACTTGTGGTTCCTATAGTCTCTAAAAGTAGAACAGGAGCCAGAGCCTTCAGTTACCAAGCTCCTCTCCTGTGGAACCAGCTTCCAGTTGTGGTTCGGGAGGCAGACACCCTCTCCACATTTAAGAGTAGGCTTAAGACGTTCCTCTTTGATAAAGCTTACAGTTAGGGTTGGCTCAGGTGAGTTCTGAACCATCCCTTAGTCATGCTGCTATAGGCCTAGACTATCGGGGGAATTCCCATGGTGCACTGAGCTCTCTGTTTCTGCACTCATTCGTGTCCCATTAATGCATGTTACTAACTTCACTTCTTCCCCAGAGTTCCTGTGCTTTCTCGTCTCGCAGGTTCTCATGGATCCTAGTGGAGCCTCCTACCATGGTCCTGCTTGACTGCCATTGCTAATATCACTGATATTAGTGTATTATTATTAGTATTATTATTACTACTGTTAATGTTGTTGCTGTTGTCACTGCTCATTGTCCCCCATCGTTGCTGTTGTCATGTTCATTATCATCAGTCACTACTACTATTAGTGTAGTTGTTGCTACTGTTGTTGCTGTGCAACTGTCTGTCTCTCTGTCTCTATCTCTCTCTATCTCTCTGTCTGTTTCTCTCTCTCTCTCTCTTTCTCTCTCTCTCTCACCCCAACTGGTCGAGGCAGACGACCACCCACCTAGAGCCGAAGGGTCTGTCCTAGGTTTCTGCCTTTTAACAGGCAGTTTTTGCCCCCCGTTGCCAAGTGCTTGCTCATGGTGGTACTGTTGGGTCTCTGTAAATGTTATATCTACTGTAGCTTCAACCAACAAGAAAAGTTCATACCTGAGAGTGTCCAGTCTCCATTGTGTATCATCCAGTCCAAACAGCAGCTTCTCTCCTGAGTCTCCTAGATGATTGTAGCGCAGGTCCAGCTCTCTCAGATGGGAGGGGTTGGAGCTCAGAGCTGAGGCCAGAGAAGCACATCCTTCCTCTGTGATCATACAGCCTGACAATCTGCAAACACACAAAACAACACACATGGCAGATCATCTGAGGGTACTGCAACGTCAAATACAAGAAGCCATACATTATTTGAGCGTTTTAATGGACCCTAAACCTAAACTAAATTATAATTCATTTGAAAGCCTTGTTCTTAGTCTTTCTCACCCATCCTGGAAAACACTGCAGCCAGTTCTATTTGTTATAGTGTACCGCGCTCCTGGACCGTACTCTGATTTTATATCTGAATTCTAAAGAGTTTTTATCAAGTTTAGTCCTTAAATCGGATAAAGTAATTATTGTGGGTGATTTTAATATTCACGTGGATGTTAACAATGACAGCCTTAGTAATGCATTTATATCATTAATAGACTCAATTGGCTTCTGTCAGAGTGTAAATAAACCAACTCATTGTTTTAATCACACTCTTGACCTCGTTCTTTCATATGGCATTGATATTGAACATTTAATAGTCTTCCCACATAATCCTTTCCTATCTGACCATTATTTAATAACTTTTGAATTCATACTATTAGATTATAAGCCATTAGGCAAAACTTCCTACAGCAGATGTCTATCTGACAGTGCTGTAGCTAAATTTAAGGAGGAGATTCCTTCAGTGTTTAATTTAATGCCATGTCTGAATTTAACAGAATCCTATAACACCTTTAGTCCCTCTGAAATTGATAATCTTGTCGATAGTGCTGCAGGCTCACTACGAAGAACATTAGACTCTATCGCTCCTATAAAAAGGAAATTATTAAAACATAGGAGACTAGCACCGTGGTACAATGACCAAACCCGCCAGTTAAAACAAATAGCTAGGAAATCTGAAAGGAAATGGCGCTCTTCCAAATTATCAGAATATCGCTCAATTTGGCAAGATAATCTTAAAACGTATAGAAAGGCCCTCCGTAATGCCAGAGGAGCCTATTACTCAGCACTAATAGAAGAAAATAAGAATAACCCTAGGTTCCTCTTCAGCACTGTAGCCAGGCTGACAGAGAGTCACAGCTCTATTGAGCCACATATCCCCATAAACTTAAGTAGCAACGACTTCATGAGCTTCTTCTATAATAAAATTATTACTATTAGAGAGAAGATTAATCACCAACTGCCATCAACAGTTATCAGTGGCTCTCCAAGTTCAGGGACTTTTGCTAATGTAAACTTAGATACATATTTAGACTTTTTCTGCTATCGATCTTCATCAGTTAACTTCAATCATTTCTTCATCGAAGCCATCAACCTGTCTATTAGACCCGATCCCAACTAGGCTGCTTAAAGAAGTTGTTCCCTTAATTGGCACTTCTTTACTGGATATGATTAATCTTTCTTTATTATCAGGATATATACCACAGTCCTTTAAAGTAGCTGTAATTAAACCCCTTCTTAAAAAGCCCACTCTTGACCCAGGGGTTTTAGCTAACTATAGACCAATCTCTAACCTCCCCTTCCTCTCTAAGATTCTGGAGAAGGTAGTCGCCAAAGAGTTGTGTGAATTTCTACATAACAATAGTTTATTTGAAGATTTTCAGTCAGGATTTAGAGTTCATCATAGCACAGAGACAGCTCTGGTTAAAGTTAATAATGACCCTCTGATTGCTTCTGACAATTGACTTGTCTCTGTACTTGTATTATTAGATCTTAGTGCTGCATTTGACACCATTGACCATAATATTCTTTTACAGAGACTTGAGCATCAAATTGGCATTAAAGGAACCGCACTAAGCTGGTTTAAGTCATATTTATCAGATCGTTTGCAGTTTGTACATGTTAACGATGAATCTTCAATAAATACTACAGTTAGTCATGGAGTTCCACAAGGTTCTGTACTTGGACCAATACTATTTACTATATATATGCTCCCTTTAGGCAACATTATTAGGAATCACTCCATTAACTTTCACTGTTATGCAGATGATACGCAGTTATATGTATCGATCAAGCCCGATGAAATTAATCAATTATCTAAATTACAAACATGTTTTAAGGACATAAAATCCTGGATGAGCTGCAATTTTCTGATGTTAAACTCAGAAAAAAACAAAATTCTTGTTCTTGGTCCCAAAAACCTTAGAGACTCACTGTCTAAAGATATAGTTACTCTAGATGGCATTACCTTGGCCTTTAGCACCACTGTCAGGAATCTTGGAGTTATCTTTGATCAGGATTTGTCTTTTAACTCCCACATGAAGCAGACCTCTGGGACTGCCTTCTTTCATTTACGTAATATTAAAAAAATTAGACACATCCTATCACAGACAGATACAGAAAAACTAATTCATGCATTTGTTACTTCTAGGCTGGATTACTGCAACTCTTTATTATAAGGTTGCCCCAATAAGTCCATTAAGAAGCTCCAATTAATTCAAAATGCTGCAGCACGAGTACTGACAGGAACTAGAAAAAGAGATCACATCTCTCCTGTACTAGCTTCTCTGCACTGGCTCCCTGTAAAATGTAGAATAGAATTTAAAATCCTCCTCCTCACCTATAAAGCTCTTCATGGTCAGGCCCCTTCATATCTTAAAGAGCTCATAGTACCCTATTATATACCCTATATAGAACACTACGTTCTCTGAATGCTGGGCTACTTGTGGTTCCTATAGTCTTTAAAAGTAGAACAGGAGCCAGAGCCTTCAGTTACCAAGCTCCTCTCCTGTGGAACCAGCTTCCAGTTGTGGTTCGGGAGGCAGACACCCTCACCACATTCAAGAGTAGGCTTAAGACATTCCTCTTTGATAAAGCTTATAGTTAGGGCTGGATCAGGTGAGTCCTGAACCATCCCTTAGTTATGCTGCTATAGGCCTAGACTATCGGGGGGATTTCCCATGGTGCACTGAGCTCCTCTCTTCCTGTCTCTTTCTGCACTCATTCATGTTCCATTAATGCATGTTACTAACTTCACTTCTTCCCCGGAGTTCTTGTGCTTTCTCGTCTCGCAGGTTCTTATCGATCCTGGTGGAGCCTCCTGCCATGGTCCTGCTAGATTGCCATTGCCAGTACTGTTGTTGCTGTGCACCTGTCTGTCTGTCTGTCTCTCTCTCTCTCTCTCTCTTTCACCCCAACTGGTTGAGGCAGACGACCACCCACCTAGAGCCGAAGGATCCGTCCTAGGTTTCTGCCTTTTAACAGGCAGTTTTTCTTTGCCCTCGTCGCCAAGTGCTTGCTCATGGTGGTACTGTTGGGTCTCTGTAATTAATGTTAAAGAGTTCGGTCTAGACCTGCTCTATTTGAAAAGTGTCCTGAGATAACTTCTGTTATGAATTGGCGCTATACAAATAAAATTTAATTGAATTGAAATTGAAGAAGAAACTGTCTCCTGTCTCCTGTTGGATTCTGTGAGGCTGTATTTCCTAAATGGCAACATCAGTATATACTCAAAATGATAATGCTAGCTTGTTCATGTTTAGCATTCATGTTTAGTACATATAATATTAGTTGTTAATTTGCTAATGCAGTAAACACTAAGTTCACTTGAGGAGGAAAGGAATGTCCTTACTTTTGTAGGTATTTGCTCATAAACCAAAGTACTGGACACATTCAAATGTTGACCCTATGATGGCGCTACATGATTAGTCTGAGGATCAATAACGTTATTACAATTCAACCTTGAGGCAACATGAGTATCTGAACCACATTCCATCACAATCCATCCAATAGTTGTTGAGATATTTCGGTCTGGAACAAAGTGGATGACAGACTGACAGACCCAGATTACCATCCATAGAGCCTCGCTGTTGCTGTGTATTACTGTATACAGTCAATGTTCAATACAAAAGCCACAACAATGAATGATCCAAGGAAACAAAAATATACTCAATACAACTGTTGGACAACAAAATTAACACCAAGTGATGCCTCTTGCCTATAATAGACAAGCTTAGGGATTCTCCAACAACTCTATTCAATTCAATTAAAAGAGTTACCTCTTTTAGTGCTACTGTCAGCTCCAGTGAATGAGGCCCTCAACAGGCAAGGACAGAGCAGGCTGTTCATTCTGAGGAGGCTCAGGTCCTTCAATGTGTGCACCAAGCCACACATTTACTACAACTTTACTGCGGTTCTGTGGTCCGAGAGTTGTGTTATTGGACAAGTTTCTGTTAACTGGCACAGCACCTGTGCTCCTGCTGCAGCTATATGTTTCCTCACAGGATGTGCGAGCTTACAGCTTTCAAAATAAAAACAAATCCTGCCGCTTCATTAGGCCTAATGATATTTAATTGATGTAAATGTTAAAGACTGCAAAGTCGTTTTTCATTACCGATTTCTTCACAAAATAAACAAATTTCCATTCTCACCCGCTACCTGCCCACATTTAGTTTATTTTTACCCGTACCCGCAAATTTGTATGAATGTATTGTGTACCCGTTACACGTTTTTGCCTCCCGTGGGTGCCCAACCCAGTGCAAGACTCTGAACTGTAGTGGCCAGTGTGATTTTCTTTGCTGTGGTGTGCTGGGGAAGTGGCATTGGAAGAGAAGAACCATGTGTTGATTCGCCAGTGGCAGGTAAACAAACCAAGTTACTTTAAAAAAACACTAGTGTTATAATTAGTGGAGTGGAGATTTTCCTGCCCCCTATGCATTCCACACATCCTGGGTAAATATATTGGCAGTTGCTGGTTGTTGGGCTTTTTTGACACAAATTTAGAATAAATATTTAAACTAACCTGTAGTATTTAATAATTAAACAACAAAAGCAAAAACAAGAGAAAATTATGGAAAGGTCCTTTAACAAATCATATTAGCAGACACAATCCTACACAGGTTAGGTCTTTATCCGTTATTGTAAATACAGTTGAATGGGTTGAGGAATCCTGACCTGAGAGTTTCCAATGTACAGTGTGAACTCTCCAGTCCAGCAGAAAGCAGCTTCACTCCCAAATCCTGCAGGTTATTGTTACTCAGATCCAGCTCTCTCAGACTAGATGACTGGGAGTTGAGAACTGAGGACAGAGCTTCACAGCTTCTCTCTGAAAGATTACAACCATTCAGTCTGGAGAGACAACAGGAAGGAAACAAGTAATACATGATTAATGTATTTCTACAGGTAAAGATAACAGTGTCTTTATAGATGAATGAATCCCACTTACAGAACTTTGTTGGAGGCTTTGACCACTGGCAGCAGCCTCAGAAGAGCTTCCTCTGAAGCAGAGTATTTCTTCAGGTCAAATATGTCCAGATCTTCTGATGACAGTAAGATGAAAACCAGAGCTGACCACTGAGCAGGAGACAGATTATCTGTGGAAAGCCTTCCTGAACTCAGGGACTGTTGGATCTCCTCCACTAGAGAATGATCATTCAGTTCGTTCAGGCAGTGGAACAGATTAATGGTTCTCTCTGCAGAAGAAGTCTCTTCGATCTTCTTCTTGATGTACTCAACTGCTACATGATTGTTCTGTGAGCCACTTCCTGTCTGTGTCAGCAGGCCCCGTAGGAGAGTCTGATTGGTCTGGAGTGAAAGTCCCATGAGGAAGCGGAGGAACAAGTCCAGGTGTCCATTTGGACTCTTTAGGGTTTGGTCAACAGCACTGTGGAAGTACTGTGTCACTGCAGATTCATGGTAGATTAACTGTTCTTCTGACAGCAGATTGACTCCAGAGTTGATGTATGCCAGATGGACATGGAGAGCAGCCAGAAACTCCTGAACACTCAGATGGACAAAGCAGAAGACCTTGTCCTGGTACAGTCCTTTCTCTTCTTTAAAGATCTGTGTGAACACTCCTGAGTACACTGAGGCTGCTCTGATATCGATGCCAGACTCTGTCAGGTCTGATTCATAGAAGATCAGGTTGCCTTTCTGCAGCTGCTCAAGAGCCAGTTTTCCCAGAGACCCAATCATCTTCCTGGTCTCTGGATTCCAGTGTGGATCTGTCTCAGCTCCTCCATAATACTTGACATTCTTCAGTTTGGACTGAACCACCAGGAAATGGATGTACATCTCAGTCAGGGTTTTGGGCAGCTCTCTCTCATCTCTGGTCTTCAGCAATTCCTCTAGAACTGTAGCAGTGATCCAGCAGAAGACTGGGATGTGGCACATAATGTGGAGGCTTCGTGATGCCTTGATGTGGGAGATGATTCTGCTGGCCTGCTTCTTTTCTCTGAATCTCTTCCTGAAGTACTCCTCCTTCTGTGGGTCAGTAAACCCTCTAACCTCTGTCACCATGTCAACACAATCAGGAGGGATCTGATTGGCTGCTGCAGGTCGTGTGGTTATCCAGAGGCGAGCAGAGGGAAGCAGGTTCCCCCTGATGAGGTTTGTCAGCAGCACATCCACTGAGGTACACTCTGTGACATCAGTCAGGATCTCATTGTTGTGGAAGTCCAGAGGAAGTCGACACTCATCCAGACCATCAAAGATGAACACAACCTGGAATTCTTCAAACCTGCAGATTTCTGCTTCTTTTGTTTCAGTAAAGAAGTGATGAACAAAATCCACCAAGCTGTACCTTTTCTCTTTCAGCACATTCAGCTCCCTGAAAGTGAATGGAAATGTGAACTGTATGTCCTGGTTGGCTTTGTCTTCAGCCCAGTCCAGAGTGAACTTTTGTGTTAAGAATGTTTTCCCAATTCCAGCCACTCCCTTTGTCATCACTGTTCTGATTGGTTCATCTCTTCCAGGTGAGGGTTTAAAGATGTCTTCTTGTCTGATTGTTGTTTCTGGTCTGTCTGGTTTCCTGGATGCTGTTTCAATCTGTCTGACCTCATGTTCATTATTGACTTCTGCAGTCCCCCCCTCTGTGATGTAGAGCTCTGTGTAGATCTGGTTCAGAAGGGTTGGGTTTCCTGCTTTAGCAATCCCCTCAAACACACACTGGAACTTCTCCTTCAGGTTAGATTTAAGTTTACGCTGGAAACTAACTGGAACAGGATTTCCTGAATGAACACACAACAAATGAAATTAATAGATTAAGTACATATTACAATTTCATTTCCTTATACAAACATATTCCCCTCCATTTAATGAGATATTAGTAAATGTATTTTTCATCCTGTATGTTAAATCTCTTACTGCTTTGCAGACAGTCAGCCAGCTCCTCCTGCTTCATTATCCTCAAGAAGTACAGTGTGATCTTCAGAAATGCCTCTCTGCTGCTTCTCCTCTGCTTTTCATCTTTAGTCTCCAACACCTCCTCATCCTTCCTCTGAGTCTCCAAGCATTCTGAATAATCTGATCTCAAAAAACTCTGGAACCTATTCAGTTCATTCTTCACAAAAGTGACAATGTTGTCCTCCAGCAGCTGGAACAGAATATTATATGAATAACTCAATCAAATCCAAATCATGGAACCAAACAGCTGATCATTTTTGGACAGACTGACATTCCACTGATCTAAAAATCGCAGTATGGAGATTATCTGAACAGATGTAAAGGTAGTTTTTGTACATGTACAGACCATAAATATGGAGTCCAGGTCTATTTGATGCTGCTGGACAGACTGACCACTGGGAGCTTCTGAGCTCTCCTGGTCCACTCTGTAGAGAAATCATGAAGAATTAGCCCAAATTATGTCTGCCCTCTCAAACACAAACACAAGGTGAAGTTACCTGAAGTTAAAGTGTTGATTTCAACATCCAGCTCTTAGAATAAAAATCTTTATTGTCCACCTATTTTGAAATTCATCTTTGGCTTCATGGAAAGGTACATGGTGTAATAAAAGTGGAAATAAAGTTCATACACACAAACATACATACACTTAAAAACCTTACACTTAGAAATCAGTCATCTGTGTGGATGTAGTAAAAGCACTTTGAGTGGTTGGAAGACAAGAACTGTATTAGTACAGTTGTGTATGCATGTCCTAAATAACTTGAGCAAACATCATAAAAAGACATCCTATGCTTCTGAAGCTGTAAATATTGTTGCTGTGGTGACCATTGTGTGTGCTGGCTGATTTTGTTTGTTTTGTTTTTGTTTTTTGCTGTTTTAGAAAACTGCTGTGGGGATTTTATACTGAATTGGCAGGTGGGAAGATACACAATTTGAACAGTTTGATTATATATATTGAGGTTAATTTACATAAACAAGCATTATGGTTAATTGTTGCATTGCAGGGTGTGGTCTTATGTATATCACCAATAGTGATCTCACTGTAGTTGTTTTGTGGACTTTCCACTGTAGATAAATACCTGATAAGAATATTATTTCCAAGTGATCATGCTGAACTCATATACTGGACAATATTTTTAAGCCGGTATGTTATTTGGAGTGACTGAGTGTTTACCTTGGACATATTTTTTACTGTGGTTTCGGATGTGTTGAATTTGCAGTGTCTATGTGTGTGTCCAAGACAGCAGACTTGTGCTGACAGTTGGAGCATATCAATTACTATTCTTTAAAGCCTAATAATTTTATGGACCCTGTACTGGTGCTATTGGGTATGCCTAACGTTACTACACATTTTTGGGACAACAAATATTAGAGACGCTAAGGACATATTCAGATAAGCTACACTACCATATATATATTAATATAATAATATTAATTCTTTATTGTGGGCAATGACACAGGGGTAAGGTAAAGACATTCTTGTCAAAAAATGTCCCCATGAAAAAGGGGACAACATATTAAATTAATTTTGGTCTCCCTCAGTTTTAGGTCCAGCTTTGCCCTCATTGTTGGAGGCCTCTGGATCGTGTGCTGCAATAATTCCAGTGACACTAATTGTAGTGAAATTATCACGGAAAATAACATCAGGTCTTCAACAGGCCTTCCTAGGCTAGAAATACACATAACCATTATGTTTAGGTAGAATTATAAATACAATGCATGGAAATTACAGCTTTGAGTTGGAATGAGGACATAATGGAGCATTGTGAGCTGGCAAGCAGAGAAATTTGCCCAACCTTATGACAACTGTAAAAGCACTTCTGATGGTGCTACAGAAGTACAAGAAAAACAAAGTGACTTTATCCTGGAATGCATGATGAAAGCAAAGTGACTGGTCAGTGACTATTGCAGTGGACCATCTAGACGTAATATGCAAAGCACCACGACCAAGCTCAATCAAACCAGCATTGTCTTTTTTTTGGGAATGAATTTGGGAAATTGCTCCCGTTGCTATGTATGAGTGTGTGTGGGAATGATTAGTTTCCGTTCTGTTCCATTCTGCCATGCAAGGTGCCAACTGCTGAATGTGTGTGAAGGGGTGAGTGTGGCATGTAGTGTACAGCGCATTGCATGGTCAAAAGACTAGAAAGGCGCTATATGAGTACAGTCCATTCACCATTTACAAAAGAGTGACAAGTGCATGAATGCCCATTACCCAGAGATATCCACTCTGTATTGGAGTGAAGTCATTTCAGAGAATTTTAACATGGTGAGGAAGCCGGTGTAAACCATCTAGCCTAGAGTAGGTTTACTGATGTTCAATTCAATTCAATTCAATTTTTTTTATTTGTATAGCGCCAATTCATAACAGAAGTTATCTCAGGACACTTTTCAAATAGAGCAGGTCTAGACCGAACTCTTTAACATTAATTACAGAGACCCAACAGTACCACCATGAGCAAGCACTTGGCGACAAGGGCAAGGAAAAACTGCCTGTTAAAAGGCAGAAACCTAGGACAGATCCTCCGGCTCTAGGTGGGTGGTCGTCTGTCTCGACCAGTTGGGGTGAGAGAGAGAGAGAGAGAGAGAGAGAGAGCGACAGACAGACAGACAGGTGCACAGCAACAACAGTATTGGCAATGGCAGTCAAGCAGGAGCATGGCAGGAGGCTCCACCAGGATCCATGAGAACCTGCGAGACGAGAAAGCACAAGAACTCCGGGGAAGAAGTGGAGTTAGTAACATGCATTAAAGGGACATGAATGAGTGCAGAAAGAGAGAGGAAGAGAGTAGCTCAGTGCACCATGGGAAATCCCCCGATAGTCTAGGCCTATAGCAGCATAACTAAGGGATGGTTCAGGACTCACCTGATCCAGCCCTAACTATAAGCTTTATCAAAGAGGAATGTCTTAAGCCTACTCTTGAATGTGGTGAGGGTGTCTGCCTCCCGAACCACAACTGGAAGCTGGTTCCACAGGAGAGGAGCTTGGTAACTGAAGGCTCTGGCTCCTGTTCTACTTTTAGAGACTATAGGAACCACAAGTAGCCCAGCATTCAGAGAACGTAGTGTTCTAGTGGGGTAATAGGGTACTATGAGCTCTTTAAGATATGAAGGGGCCTGACCATGAAGAGCTTTATAGGTGAGGAGGAGGATTTTAAATTCAATTCTACATTTTATAGGGAGCCAATGCAGAGTAGCTAGTACAGGAGAGATGTGATCTCTTTTTCTAGTTCCTGTCAGTACTCGTGCTGCAGCGTTCTGAATTAATTGGAGCGTTTTAATGGACTTATTGGGGCAACCTGATAATAAAGAGTTGCAGTAATCCAGCCTTGAAGTAACAAATGCATGGATTAGTTTTTCTGCATCTGTCTGTGATAGTATGTGTCTAATTTTTCTAATATTACGTAAATGAAAGAAGGCAGTCCTAGAGGTCTGCTTTATGTGGGAGTTAAATGACAAATCCTGATCAAAGATAACTCCAAGATTCCTGACAGTGGTGCTAGAGGCCAAGTTAATGCCATCTAGAGTGACTATATCTTTAGACAATGAGTCTCTAAGGTTTTTGGGGCCAAGAACAAGAATTTCGTTTTTTTCTGAGTTTAACATCAGAAAATTGCAGGTCATCCAGGATTTTATGTCCTTAAGACATGTTTGTAATTTAGATAATTGATTAATTTCATTGGGTTTGATTGATAGATATAACTGCGTATCATCTGCATAACAGTGAAAGTTAATGGAGTGATTCCTAATAATGTTGCCTAAAGGGAGCATATATAAAGTAAATAGTATTGGTCCAAGTACAGAACCTTGTGGAACTCCATGACTAACTTTAGTATTTATGGAGGATTCATCGTTAACATGTACAAACTGAGAACGATCTGATAAGTATGACTTAAACCAGGTTAGGGCAGTTCCTTTAATGCCAATTTGATGCTCAAGTCTCTGTAAAAGAATATCATGGTCAATGGTGTCAAATGCAGCACTAAGATCTAATAATACAAGTACAGAGACAAGTCCATTGTCAGAAGCAGTCAGAAGGTCATTATTAACTTTAACCAGAGCTGTCTCTGTGCTATGATGAACTCTAAATCCTGACTGAAAATCCTCAAATAAACTATTGTTATGTAGAAAGTCACACAACTCTTTGGCGACTACTTTCTCCAGAATCTTAGAGAGGAACGGGAGGTTAGAAATCGGTCTATAGTTGGCTAAAACCCCTGGGTCAAGAGTGGACTTTTTAAGAAGGGGTTTAATTACAGCTACTTTAAAGGACTTTGGTACATATCCTGATAATAAAGAAAGATTAATCATATCCAGTAAAGAAGTGCCAATTAAGGGAACAACTTCTTTAAGCAGCCTAGTTGGGATCGGGTCTAACAGACAGGTTCCATTCTCTCAAGGTCCAGAACAGGGAAATTAGATACTTAACCAGCTTACACTGTCCAAATATACAAATAAAAGAAATTAGGACTACAGTAATCAGTCATTATGACTAGAGAAGTATTTGTCTAACCACATCTGACTTAAGAGCTCACATAAAGTGTACTTAGAACATGTAGTCAAACTGCATTAGAAGGGAAATCTATCATCTAATCACAAAAAAATTTAACACAGGGGTTTTCTATGTTTAGGCACAATGGCATTTATATAATTAATTGTAAGTGTTGGCATAAAATGAGAAGCTATCATTCAATTACAAAAGTGGAAATCAAGTTTGAAGAACCCAGGATATATCATATATCCTGGGTTTTTTCTGCTACTGTTTGGTGCTGTTGCTGCTCTAGGTTCCTCCAAAATTCAAAACAATATATTCTAAGGTTTTTAATAATAGTTTTTCATCTTTACTGTAAAAGACAGGGAGGGCTTAGCCCTGTTAGCCCATATATACCAGACGTCCCTGCCTAGGTTGTAGGGAAAAAGTATATTCTGCTATATACAGTCACCTTATGTGGCTCGGGAAAAAACAAGGGAGCAAAGTAATGTAACCAATTCATGTAATCTATATGTACTATGATATCATCACATAGTATGTGGATTGTTCAGCAGGGATTTTTGTTTTTGTGAGTGACAAACTATATTAATGTTATAAGGAGTTCGGTTTAGACCTGCTCTATTTGAAAAGTGTCCTGAGATAACTTGTTATGAATTGGCACTATACAAATACAATTGAATTGAAATTTTTTTTTTTTATATGATGTTGTGTTGTTCTATGTTTAATTTTACAGGCTTACAGTATAATATTTTAAGTTCATGTATGTTCATGTGAGGACAAGGTCATAAAATAAGTTATACTGTTTAGTTCATAGGAAAAGCCACCACCCATATATATTATTTAATATTATTTATTTCATTTAATTTCATTGCATTATAGCAGTTCATGTTCATTAAAATGTGCATTGCTTTATGTTGTTAAAAGAGTCACTGT